GCGCAGAAGGACCGCGGGGCAGACGGCCACGGGAGAGATGCTCTAGCGGCTGGCAGCGTCGGGGGCAGAGCAAAATGCTTGCTGCAGTCTCCGCTGCAGGGAAAGGTTTAGGGAAGTTATGTTTCCCGCTGCCCTCTCGCTTGTAACCTTTTCTGTACCTGCTGAGAGACGTCGTGTTAGTAATTCACAGCGATAAGCAACTTCAGGGTTAAAACCCAATGTGGCCTGCGGAATGCCTCCTTACTCTTATGGGCGCTGTTTCACGTTTTGCACCAGTTCACGTGAAAACTTGTCCTTGTGTAAAGATAGCCGCCGGCCTGGGGAGCTAGCAGTGTCCCTCTTCAGCTTGGAAGACAGATGCTGCATCTGTGACCTACCAGGCTAACCATTTGCAGACTCATAAATCTGAAGGTCAAGGAGAGCTGATTATCTGCTCTGAGCCTTTGCATGCGACCGACCGTAGAATTTCAAGCAGGATTTCGTTCAGCATGCCTAAAAACTTCTGGATGTGGTTTGGAAAAGACCTCCAGTCTGGAGTTGTTTGCTCAACTTCAGTGAAGGCTTTGCTGTTAAAAAGTTAAAAAATATATGTGTGTGTGTGTGTATATATATGTATATATGTATATTTTTTGCTATGCCAGATTTGACTTTAACCTATTAACATTGCAATGGGAAGTTGCCTTGGCATTGAGAAGGAAGGATGGTGTTCATTTGTGTGATTAATGTGAGAGACGTGTGTGAATATACATTTTTTAAATGTTTACTTTTTCAAGAGCTTCTCTTGACTTTTTTTTTTTTTTTAATTTAAAATAAGCCCTTTGCCCTAAGGGAGATCCTAACTCTTATTCAGTGCATTCTTTTAATTAGTTTTAAAATTATGCTATGTTTACCTATTGCTTTAAAATTCAAAAGCACATTATATATGCCTGCGAATAGAAAAATACCCACTGAGCCGAACCCCTGGGACCATATGGCGTCGGCAGCTGTACCCGAGTCAGCCTTGGCGCTGGTGGTTGCTCTGTCTGCAGCGGCTCTGTGCATCCTGCCGCAAGCCCTCGAGGGGCTTCGTGCGCTCCCTGTCACTGAGTAGGGCCCACACCAGTTTCTCCTGAAATGTCTGGAAGGTTTCCCACTGGTGTCAGTGGGATCCGTGGGCGCCCAAGTCCTGCGTGCCTGGAGCTCTGTGCTCGCAGTGAAGACCTTCAGTTGTATTTGTGCTCCGCAGTGGCTGGGAGATGAGCCCAGTTCGCTTGCTGACAGCGAGGACTGAAGCAGCAGCGAGAAGTCACAGAGCAGCGTCAAAGCCGGAGCGAAACAAAGCACGCGGGCCTGCGGAAGGAGGGTGTTCGTGTCCTGCTTCTCCCACCTCTTCAGCGGCGACCAGAACAACGTTCCTCGTTCCTGGCCAGGAGGAATCGTGATCTTTAGTCTTGGTGCTGCGAGCCCTGGAGCTGTTTGTCCGAGTTGCCCGCAGCAGTGCCGCTTGCAGATGTAATAGCAGCCTTTGCGTCGGCTGGTTCTCGTTGTCAGCAAAGATTCAAAAAAAAATCACCTCAATCACTATCCGCTTGGAAGCGGTTTGAAGATGACTGCTCGTTTCCCAAGTGTGGCCAAGTCCCAGCAGCGCTTGGATGCTGGACTTCAGCAGCTGGAAGTGCCAAAGAAAGGAGCGGTCACTGCCTTCCTAAAGGCTCTTTTATTTTCAAAGTGTTAAGGTGTTTTCATGGAAATCAGTAAAAATAGTGCTGTATTGATCTCACTACAGAACTTTGTGCAAACAAGTCTGGCTTCCTGATCTGGTTGGGTGGTTTACAGAAACCAGGGAGAAGCAGAAAGCTCCAGATGCCTGCGAGCGCAGTGCTCACAGTGGTCGATTCAGATCAGTGTTTGGAAAGAACGTGGTGTTAGTCCAAGGCCTCCTATTTACATCGTGCGGAGCAGCTGCACGTTTTTCTGATTGCTTCAAAGGAATTTTAGAAAGGGAAGATAGGAGGGGAAAAAAAATGCAGAAAGGAAGGGAAGGCTCCAGAGGAAACGGAGAAAAGTTTGCTGCAGTATTCGGCCGTGAAACTAGAGCGGCTCCGGAGGCTCCCGCGCTCCGGGTGGGCGCGCTGGCCGAGC